GTCAACACAAGCTATTTCGATAATTGTTATGAGAGTCACAAAAAAACGGTTTACTGTACTTTTCACAAATTAACCTGAGGACGAAAATAGAAACATAATATCTTCCTTGAGAAACTGCAAGCAATTCCAAAATAACCCTTTCGTTAATTTTTTACGTTGAAAATGTATGTAAAGATTTTATTGTTGTTAACGTTGTCTGAAGCAGCTAACTAATGAACCAATAGGAATCGTACGTACACAACATGTAAACAAAACTACAAATACAATTAAATACATATAAAGTTGTTAATAAACACATTAATTAAAAAAAAAGACAAGCATCAGTTGTTAAACGTGATTCTAAGAACTAAGATACTACCAATTACTTCTTGTAAGTCCCTAATAATAAATAACCATTTAAATTGGTAACAAAACAATCACTAATATGTACAGGGTGAATTCTATTAACAAAACAGTTGAGATCTCCAATTTCATGTATAAATGAAATTAAAAAAAATTGTCGTTTTGAAATATTTACTGATAACTAGTTGGAATCATCCAATCAGATGCGTGTTTATTAGTTACAGTTGAATAAATACACGTAATAGAACGAAAACATTTGTAGAATACTTATAAGTATTTATGTACATTCAGGGAGTGCACGTCTCGGAATATTTTTTTATGATTTATTAGTTTTAAAAATTAATTTGAGTTTAAAAAATCTTCAATAATTTTCCAGACTCGCAGATCATGAAAAAATATGTCAAAAGTTGCACACACCTGTAATTCGTTCTATTGAGATATAAATAAATCTACGTAATCTTTTCACAGACATCTTGGGCCAAATCATGTCAGCCACCAGTAAACGTTTAATACAAAAGAATAATATTCTGCCACTAAGGGTAATTTAAGAAGAAATTCTATTCTACTGCAAGTTATTAGCCTTAACGCAGCCACGATTGCCTTTCTCACCATAACCTTTAAAAGCCCTTACAGTAAGATATTAAACGTAAAGTAAGTGAAAACTAAATGAAATAAAAAAAAAAAGAAAATAATTAAAATTAAAAAAAAGAGAACTGAACACGAGCCTTCCGGTGTGGTAAGCCGCTATTCCTACCAGTTAGCTATTTACACTTGTTGAGTCTTCGGAGAAATTATGAATATCGACTGGTGGTAGTATATTTCTATATATATTAAAATGCCATTAGTGGCAGAGTAGACAATTCTCTGTTGTGCATTAAACTGACAGATGATAATTTTGTAGGGAACATGATTCCCAAATAAATATTGCGTATCTTAACGTAACGTGTCTCAACAAAACCAGGGTTACTACACGTTTATTTGTTTGTTTAATAATAACCGGGATTCTCGTCATTTACACCTTTAGAAACAGGTGGATTTTTCTATACTGATACAGAAATATTTTGAAAAATTATCATAGGAAAATCAAGATTGATATTTATTTCCATTAGAAATAATAAACATAAAAAATACTATATTTGTTATTATAAAAACCGTCGATGATCAGTGTACATCGCCATTACGAATCAGACAGTACCAGCGCCATTCAGTGAACCAGTAAATTAAATTTTGAACAATGTTAACGCCAATACTCCTACGATTACAACCTACTTTCAATAGCGATGTTAAGACGCCTTTTTTATACATTTATATCAAGCTTTTTATTATTTTTATGAGATTTTGTTCACTTAGCCAAAATATATACTTGTAATGAATGAACACTACGACGAGAGGCATTTATTTAGCAATGTTGTCCAAACGAAAAACGTACGAAAGCAATTTCAACTTTAACTTTAAAATTTAATTATACGGGTTTAAGTTTAAACCCATTAAAGTTAAAGATTTAAATTTCTACCTAACGACTTCGTGATTAGTTTAACGATATGTATTAAATTATAATACAAAGATTATAAGCCACCTTTATTCACGGAAATGCAAAACTAATAATGTCGGTAATTAATAAGTTAAGTTGTTGGAGTGAACAGGGCACATAATGAATCANATATAACAAACTATATTCAATATTCTTTTTTCTTTTTCTTTTTTCTATTGAATGACCTTATATTAGGAAGGGAGTCAGACAAGGAAGCACACTGTCACCGCTACTTAGGTAAAGAATGATATTAGACGAAAAGTTAGAAGAACCGGTTGATTTTCGGTATCTAGGAAGTCAGATAAGTCAGGACGGAAAGAGTAGTAGGGATATAAAGCAGAGGATAGCGCAGGGTAGAGTCACCTTCAATAAAAAGAAGTCACTTCTATGCTCGCGAACAATTAATTTAGAAATTCGAAAAAGATTGTTAAAGGTGTGTCTAGAGTGCGGCGCTGTACGCCTGCGAAATATAGACAATGTTATAGGCGGATGATGAGGATATCGTGGGTAGAAAAGGTTAGAAATGAAGAGGTATTGGAAAGAATAGGAGAACAGAGGACTCTATGGAAGTCAATAAAAAATAGGCGAGATAGGTTGGTAGGACACCTTCTCAGGCATGAAGGTCTAGTCAGAGACATATTAGAGGCAGAAACAGGAGTTAGGAGGGGTAGAGGTAGACCTAGATTAGATTACTGTTCGCAAATAGTTAAGGATGTGGGCTGTTCTAGTTTTAGGGAAATGCGAAGTTTAGCTCAGGATAGGAAAGAGTGGAGGTACGTGTCCAACCAGTCTTAGGACTGATGACCTTATGATGATGATGATGATGAAATAAAATATGTAGAAGTCGTAAATGTATCGCCTAAAAGACGTCGTCCATAAATTATGTTGGCAAATAAGAGGGGGGAGGGGTATTGCTTAGCGTGACGAAAAGTAATAGATCAAATTTATTTTGAAAAGAAGCATTATAACAAAAACACGGAAGAAATGAAATATGTGGTACATAATAACGAAGTAATAGAAGTGCAATAAATGCGATTTAAAGAAGGCTGCTATCATTGCATGTCGTTAATATTTTCAGTTACACGGAACTGAAAAAATATTCCATACGTTCACCAAAGGGTGAATTTTCGCTCGTGGTGAAGAAAAGGAAAAGCTGTGTGATCTCGTGGGACATTAAGCAAGGAACGAAGTTTCTGGTGCCTATTCGACAAATGTTAATTTGTGTAAACTAATAAAAATCTAACATGTGCATTCCGTAAGCCTACCTACTCACAATCCAACCCTCCCACCCCCGTCCTCGACTCTCTCATCCCTCTCTGCAAGTAGTAAGAGGGAGAGAGATGTCCGCTAATCCATTCGATTTTTGACCTAAGGAAAGCCAGCTTAGCGATTTCTATTTAATTTATAACGTGTTCAATTTTTGACGTAAATGAATTCTTGTTGTTTAAACGTTATTCGCACTTTGAAAATTTATTTAAATGCATACTTGTAAATAACTAACGAAGAAAAAAAGGCTTCCGTTTTCTCCGCCAAATGATTTTTATTTGTTTAAAAATTTTTTCCACCATAAGAATCTCCGGGGACTTTTAACAAAACAAAAAACACTAGCAGTAATAGAAAGAAATTTATCCGAGAACGTTAATTTTACTGGTTAGCCCATTGAGATAAGTAATATTCCAAAAATGCTGTCAAAAAACTGTTCGGTGAACGTTTTGCTTAAACTCGCTAAGGCACTCGTTTTTCATTTCGAGGTATGAAACCCTGAAAATATCCAGTTCGATTTAAATACCTGCCAAACATTGATGTTAAACTGGTATCGAGGGTGACCATGTTACTGTTGGCACGAAAAATATACTACCTACCTATTCCCACGGGAATTCTTTTATATTCAAAAGTAGACAGAAGATAATTTATTATATATACTGCCCTATAAAATCTATTTAATACTTTGTCTAGGTATATGCACAAAACTAAAACTCAAATGTTAAAAAAAAATTGAACGAAATAACGTGGTTAATTTCTCCAACAATTTTTTACCATTTATTATCCACCTTTGGAGGTGGAATATTTTTTTCATTAAATGGGACTAGCAGCCTATCCAATACATATACAGAAAATACATTCGAATTTAGAACGAACCTCTTCATTTTTCGAAGAAAAATTACGTTTTATTAAACATCCGCAAACGCAATTCAGTCTAAAACTAAAAATGTAAATGACTTTCTGAAACTTCTTATTGCAAAAACCGGACAAGAGGCAGATAGGCATTACATAGTATGTCGAAGACTTCAAAATGAAAATTATAGGTATTGTGTGTTTGCTAATCAGTTGTAAAAAGTGTAATACATACATTGTATATATATATGTATAATAATGCTGTATTTGCACTATACTTAGCATGCACGACGAAATATTTTGAAAAATTATCATAGGAAAATCAAGATTGATATTTNACGGCAATACTATAACAAGTACGGCTTCGGAAAATTGGATAAAGGTAGAAGGAAGCTTTAGTAAAAACGAAGTGAAAAATAATCGGGTGAAATTTTACTAACGCAGTTCTTCGAATACACGAAAAAACAACCTTCGAATTTAAAATATGTTTTACGTCATTGTCAAGATATACACTAACTTAATTAGTAAAAAACAAAAAGGTGGCGTTTCATGGTAATGTTAAAATGTTCGAGAATAATGCTTCAGAAGTGTCAGCAAAAGTTTGTATATTTTCTTATAAATTTTAAAGAAAAATTTGTAATAAAATAAATTTCAACCTATGCAATAATCAAAGAGACAAAGCCAACATGCTCCAATTGGTAATTTATTGGAGATAGTCGGTCATTTTCAAGAATACAGAAAATGTAACTAATATTTTTAATATTTATTTATTAAGTCACTCTTGTAATTACACTTCGTTTATTTTATTTAAACGATTGCAACCGATTTAGAAACAATTTCAAGCATCATCAAACAATTTTCATAAAGTCCCTGAAATTGTGAATTCATTATAAAGCTTTTAAAATCGAAACGATTACGAGTTTAAAAAATTCCAAGTAAACAATTTATTCTAGTAAAACTATTAAGATTTTTAGATTGACGAATCCATTAAACGTTATTGTGTTTTTTACAGATTCTCTGGACAAACAAATTCGAAGGAGGTTGTCCTGATTTGTTCCGAATGTATGATGAACTTGACGCAGCCGAATGTGAAAAAGCCACATGCGGTAGGATCTGAAGCCTTTCATACTCATAAAAAAATCGAAAATGACCATGGCCACCTATTTATATAACATATACGTACATCGGCACAATAAACTATTAAACATTCAAATTGTTTTCTTTTCAAATTCATAAAATAACTACAAGAAATGCAGTAATTAACACTGGTTTTGGATATCAGTAGATCATTAAGTTTCTATTGCTTCTTAATCATCTTTATTAAAAAGTTAAAAATGCTTTTTTTAAAACAAACTGTATGAGAAAAAAAATCAATCTGCTATTACAGAACAAAATAAACAATTAATTTCGTTTCTCTTCACTATAAGTATAACAGGCGGGCTGAAAAGTTCGTAGGCTAGCATAGATAAATTATTTTTTTTGATAGACTTTGATTTTCTTATTCAAAATAGTTCCCTTCGAGAGTGATACAACGATTATAGCGGTCATACAATTTTTCGATACCATTTTTATAATACGATTTGACGTTAGCCTCAAAATAGGCTTCAGTTTCGGCGATTACCTCTTGAGGTCTGAGAACAGAAAAAAGTCGCTGGGGGCCAGATCTGGAGAGTACGGTGGATGCGGAAGCAATTCGAAGCCCAATTCATGGAATTTTGCCATCGCTTTCATTGATTTGTGACATGGTGCATTGTCTTGATGAAAGAGCACTTTCTTTTTCAAACAACAAAAGTTCTTTCACTAAAAATGCTATAACTCAAATACTAATAGTGCAACAGCTGTCAAATTTATACACGTGTCTTTTGAAGGTTAGGACTAACTAAAAATCATATGGATTTGATACTAGTAAAACCATCTTTCTGGTAGTACCATAATTCCACGCTCATAAAATTTTTGGTCTTTGTTGGCAAAAAACTGATCGAGGAGGTTTTTGACCTCCTCATTTGAGGTGAAGGTTTTACCGTCTAAAAAATTTTGGAGTGACCGGAACAAATAATAATCCGATGGTGCCAGGTCTGGAGAATATGGTGGGTGTAGCATTGTATCCCATTCAAGCTGTAAAAGCTTTTGGCGAGTGACCAAACTTGTGTGAGGTCTCGCGTTGTCTTGGTGAAACACTACACCTTTCCTGTTGATTAGTTCTGACCTTTTCTGTTGAAGTGCATCATTCAGTTTGTCCAGCTGATGACAGTAGACTTCCGAATTAATCGTTGTGTTATCCGGTAAAAGCTCAAAAAAAACGATTCCTTTAAAATCCCACCAAACAGACAGCATCACCTTTTTTTGGTGAATATCGGCTTTGGAAATGGTTTGAGCCGGTTCATCTTTTTTGCTCCATGACCTCTTGCGTTTGACGTTGTTGTATACAACCCATTTTTCGTCCCCAGTGATGATGCGCTTCAAAAACGGATCATTTTCGTGACGTTTGAGAAGCGAATCGCAGACGTCAATGCGGCGACACAGATTTCTCTCTGTGAGAACATGGGGAACCCATACATCGAGCTTCGAGGATAATCCCAGGCCTTTCAAGTGGTCATAAACTGTTGAATTTGATAAATTTAACCTCAATCCGATCTCACGTGTTGTTATTCGCCGGTTCACATCAACTAATGCCTTTATCGCGTCTTTATCAGCTTCAACCGGCCTTCCCGAACGTGGTGCATCTTCGACATCAAAATTGCCGGATCGAAATTTAGCGAACCAGTTCTGGCACTGGCGTACTGTCAACACACCTTCTCCATACACATCAGTCAATTTCTTTCTGGCTTGAACAGCATTTTTACCCTTTCTGTAGTAAAACAGTAAGATATGTCGAAAATGCTGCTTATCGCTCTCCATATTTGAAAAGGCACCAACCAAAAACTACTGCGTAGAATTAATTGGAATTTTTCACACACAAGCCTTACTATATGAGCTCTCAAAGCATATAAAAATTATACGGCTTAAATGTGAAGTTAGGTGTAAAAGAATACAATTAAATCCTCTGTCGGGAAAAAACGAAATGACTTTCCGAACAACCCGACAATATTAAGATAGCAGAACTGTATATTGACGAAATGTCCACAGCATTTAGTTTCTAATTAGAGCACTTAAATAGTATTTCATTACTTATGTTTCAGCTCTACATTTTACCGAATTCGCTCTTCCTATTTAATAAACGTTAAAAAATCCAAAATTTTTAAATTCGGCTAGGCAAGCAAAAAAACTGCTGTTTTCTTAAGAGGTTAACTAAACGTAATGCAACATGTTATACATACAAGGTCATAAATTCAAATAAATAGGTTAAGGGAATGTTTTAGGGCCTTAGTTCCGTCCTTTCATTAGACGTTTTAAATGGTCAGTTAGTTATAGAATGTTGTATTACCAGAGGATATAATAGCGGTTTCAGGCGTCTTCATCCTCCGACAAAATATCTCCAAGGCAAAAAATTCTGGACAATAATCCTTCGAATCGCTTCATGTTGACTTATTATATTTGTTTTTTGCCGCCTAAAATGAATGTTTGTGTGACATCTGTTAGTAGAATAATAAATTCCGTTTTAATTATCATTCTTAGGTTAGGTTAGGTTTTTGTCTTGGGGATATTTTGTAGGGGATATGTTGTCGAAGAATCAAGAATCATGGAACCATAGATACCTACGATTTAATTGCAAGACAAACTTGCCTATTTTGCCTTCTTCATTGGCTAATCTTTTAAACCGCTTTAATAAAGTCGAGTGAAATTTTACAAAACGCTAGGCGCTGTAAAAAAATCCTTTTTCTAACTGAATATCAACAAAGCCATGGACAGACACATAGACAAGCATACAACACCTACACCTATTATTATTATTGTTTACTAAACGTTTAGTTAGTCCCTAACGAAAACACCGCTGTTTTCTTAGTTTTCGTGCTTGAAAATGGCAACAGATTAACTTTTATGTATACATAAACGCTAGTAGCGATTTGAGAACGAAATATGCATACAATCGACAAAGGGCGACATCAACAAAAACGTGGTATAGAAATACTCATACAAATGTCTTCAGCCACCTTTTCATACAAACTATAATTTAATATAAGCCCAGTAAATTTAATTTAAAACGTTTGACGGGTGTTTTGAGGAGCAGGAAACATAAATATACACATCATTGAAAAATTCATATATGCTACACCAAAGGTGGCCACCCCAAATCATCTTGCGACCCTTATAGGATTCTAGAAGGGTTCCGTTTTTTTTTTACATTTTACAGGAAAATTAATAAGAAGTCTATGGTCTCAGCGTAACGTGGTAAATTTTTCAACAAAATAATACTCTACGTACAAATTTGCATTTGCAATTTGAATGTATGGGAGAACATGCTACAACAACTACAATGTTAATTCTTCGGTTATGGTTCCGTACGTACGAATGAAAAACGGAACCTTTATAGGATAACTCGTCTGTCTATCTGTCTTTTTTTTTTTTTTAAATTATCAACCGTAAAGAGTGACTTGCTCAGTGTAAATTAAAAAATACCAGCTAGACCACAAACAGCTAAGCAGCTTCCTTGTTACACGGAAATTTCATTAGGTAAATAAACACTTTCTAACCCAACCTTCCACGTCTTATTGCAAATTGTTTATTATTGAGGAAGTAAGATATTTAAATAACTAAATACATAACGCAGAATATGTATTTAGATTACAGGATCACTTAATGGAACAGTATATTTATAATCGATTAAAAATTATTGATGCAAAATATCTATGAAATTATTAATTTAGTTTTAGTTCATCGCTGCACTTTTTTCTTATATTTTTGTTTAATATATTTTCAAAATTTAAAAACCACTCCACTTTATATAATTTTAGTAAAAGCTAATTCGAAAATTCACACGATTCGCTTAGTTTGTTCATTGAAGTTTTCAATTGTACATAAATAATTCCGTCGATACCCTTGTACCAAGTTAACAAAGAATACAAATAATACTAAAACAGTTAATGAAACGTTTGACTACACCATCTGGTGGAACTGTGCACGCAAATTGTAAAATTGTTTATTAAAATAATAAAACACGTTAAAAAGGTAAAAAAATTTTTTTGATGTAGGAGTCGACGAAGTTTTCTTCTAAAGTTAAATCAAATAAAAAGTTAATATGTTCAGTGAAAAGCTGCAATAGCACTTCAGACATAGATCTTCACTCTTTACCTACATTAACTACTTTCCAATAAAAACTAACCGTTTTATATATGTAAAAAATATATTCGGAAAATTAGAGAAAAAAGTAAACTAATAGAAGCTTGGATGAAAGCAGTAGGTATCAAAGAAGTGAATTCCGGAATAAAAATTTTATAATGTGATTAGCATTAAAAACACGCTCACCTTCAACGAAATTTCCTTTCCGTGGCTTTGTGTCAGCCCAATCACATATTGTGTCAATACTTATCATTTTATCGTAATTTAAAAACTTGGAAATTGGTACACTATAGGAACTACGATAAATTTTCCCTAATCGGCGCCATGTTTTTAGGCTCCTCCCATTTGACGGATCCCAATACTGAGCGTTATATTACATTACTGCTAATTTAACATTATAATGTTAAATTCGCCGCTACACTAAAATCTCATGATTTGCACGGTTCTTCTTAACACTAAAAGCAATTCTGTTTGATGGTCTATATAAGTGAACAATAAGTGCATCCACATCACAAAATAGTAAAACGATTCACATGAAGGTTTAATGCTTTTTTAGTGTTAATTTAATGCTCTATTTAAAATTTTAGTCTCCCCGTGTAGGAAATTACGACGGGACCAAGCTTGGCCCAAAATTATTCAATTCTGGTCCGAGATTGACGAGACGTGAATAAACCGAGACCTAACATTTGAAAGTTGTCCAAACTTTAGACCAGTACTAACAGGCCAATGCTTTTGGTTGTTAAAGTATTGAATAAAACTAGGCGAAACGAGAATAAACCTAGCCTTGGCATTTGAAGATTGGCCGAACTTTGGACCAATATTGACAGCCCTTTGCTTGGTTTCTCACTAATAGCTCAGGTTCAAGATCCTACATGAGTCCATTCCTTACACGAAAATTAGCGGTTCCGAGTGAAGGTGAAAAGGTAGCATGCCCAAGTCAAAATCTTGGTAAATAAACTACTTTGTTTCCAAAAGTAGGTACGCTATAGTTT